AAAAAAATAAAAAAAGACTCATGATGTTATCCAAGATTTTATGTGACTGCTTAGTAAAATTTTATATTCACTTGTAGAACTAATATTTGTGCTTACTATTTAATTAATACTGTGCAACAGGCATTTATTTTTGTGTGTTTTTCATTGTGGCTGGTTAATCCTTCTGCATGTTTCTGTTTTTTTCCGGGACTGTTGACATTTTGTATTTTTTTATCAGATTTGTTTTACTACCTTTTTGTATTATACTTTTTTCCCAATTTAAAAAATTGGGAAATTACCAAGAGATAATGGAAAGATCCTCTACAAGTTACAAAACACAAAACAAATGTTAAATATTTTTTTTATTATATGTCTAATTGCATTCAAATGCTTTCAGCTATATTTTTTGGCATCCTTTCCTGCAAGTAGTATTAAAACCTGAATTAAGTAACAAATCTAAGAACAGGCTTTTATTTTCTTTTTAATGCAACTTCAAGCTATTTATAGAAAGTGCTTAACATTTAAGGCCACTGAATTTAGAACTTTCCAAACTAAACTGAAAATTACCTAACTGCAGGATGAAAGTAATAGTATTTATGTGATTTCCTCTGTTTACCCTTAACTTTGCATCTACCCAGACCAAGAAAAAAGACTTAGTAAGACCTGACAACTAAAAAAGAAATTAACTTTTCATTTAGAATGATTATATGCTTTAATTACATAACCATGTTTTAGATTTTCATTCAACTATTTCATCTTCTCCTGATACTTATATTTCCACTGTAAATCCATGCAGATGCTCATGAAACTGAACTAGGTCATTGTGGAAAACAAATTGATGTGCAGAATTTGGTTTAAAGCCTACTGCTTTGAAGCCTATTACACAAAATAGTGATCTCAACATTTTTGATTATTCACTGCTATTGTTAAGCACTCCCAAAATAAATATACTGATATACTGATATTATAAATGATATATTGATAAAAGTTATGATACCCAGTATACTTATGATCAGGTACAGTATAAAACAAAAATAGAAACTATAAAGATAAATTGAGAAATATAAATAGAAGTTTTGATATTTTCTTCCAGTATCCCAAGGGAGTGTTCTGTACACTCCATACTAACAAAGTATAGAACCATACTCATATTTGCAGACAGGTTTTGGGGGGCTCATTTTAAAATGAATACCAAGGCCTTTGGTGATAGTAGGACAAAAAAAATTATAATTGTAAACTTGTATAATAAATGACAAGGTAGAAATCACTCACAAAATATATGATCTATAAGTCATATACTCTTAGAGGTCAAAAGTTAATGCAAACATTTCCACATATCAGTGCTAGAGATTTTATAGTTTTGACTTCTTAACAAAGACAGATTGTACTTTGGGACATACCAACTCAAAATCGCCCTTAATCTACCTATACTTATATTTCATTCAAGGTGTTAGATGGGTTGAAGTACCAGGAAGTCTGTGTGGCATAGAGTACTATATATGTTAACTGCTGTCCTCATCGTCATCAAAGTTATGATGATCAACCGTATATAAACCATATATCAATAATCAACCATGTGTAAATAATACACAAAGTGTTTAAGGAAATTTTATACCGTTATTTTGGAGATGATGCAGGAAAGAAGTGTCTAATGTTATCTTTAGTTCTGATCCTTCTTAGAAAATAATGTCTACTCCAAAAAAGGTAAAGACCCAATTAGCAGAAACTTAAACGGCCAAAATTTTCTTTTATCTTAGTCAAATTCTTTTCCCTCTCAATTTATCTTTTATAATTAGCCTTTTATTTCATTCATTCAGTAAATTTTTATATATATTATATACCAGTTACAATTGTCAGTGATAGATATAGTTTGGTAAATAAGCCAGATAAGGTTTCTGTAACTGTGAATCTTATTTTCCACTAGGGAAGGACAGTTATTCATGCAACAAACCAGAAAACAAGCAAACAAGATAATGTTAGATTGTGTTAAATGCTTAGAAGATAGTTATGAATGAATACTGTGTACATTTTATTTAAGTCCTTAGTTTTCCCTTCCTGAGATATGTGTTATATTTTTGCTTTAGCATATTTCTTTTCTGAGTAGAATCCTAATTTCCTTTACTTTCCTACTGATTATTGGTTTTAGTACAAATAAGGATAACAGTGTATTCTTGACATGTTTTATAAGAAACTAAACTCAGTGTAGAAGTAAAATTTTAGATTTTATCCATCAATCACCCTATTTTATCTCGTGCCTAAAGGCTACAGTTACCTAGAATGTTTAAGTCATTTGGCACCTGAAATCCTTATTTTCTTTTGTAAAAACTGGCCAACAAACTGTAACACTTCTTTTTTTTTTTTTTAAAGATTTTATTTATTTATTTGAGAGAGAATGAGATAGAGAGAGAGCATGAGAGGGGGAAGGGTCAGAGGGAGAAGCAGACTCCCTGCTGAGCAAGGAGCCCAATGCGGGACTTGATCCTGGGACTCCAGGATCATGACCTGAGCCGAAGGCAGTCGCTTAACCAACTGAGCCACTGTAACACTTCTTTTTATTTATTTGAGAGAGAGTGAGAGAGTGTGAGCACAGGTAGGGAGAGGGGCAGAGGGAGAAGGAGAAACAGATGCCCTGCTGGGTAGGGAGCCTGATGCGGGCCCAATCCCAGGACCCCAGGATTATGACCCGAGCCAAAGGCAGATGCTTAACTGAATGAGCCACCCAGGCACCCCTATAACACTTTTAAGTTGTTTTGAATTAATGGGAAATTTGGTATTAAAGACTCTAGATTGATAGATTAATAAACATGTTCAGTTATGTATCATTAAGATAATCATTTCATATTTAATTTGTTGCCTCTAATTGCAGGTAGAATCTTTTCAAATATATCATTAGTATTATATGGCACAGCTCTCTTTCTTGAGCTCTTCTACTCTCATATCTGGAGAGTGTACTTTATGCTTTAGTAAACTTTCCCACTTGTGTTACTAAAAATATATATATATATCATTAATATTATATTAAGTGTTTGTTTCTTTGTTAAATATTAGATCTCTGATTTCAACTCTTAATTTATCAAAAACGTTTATCTATGTTTAAAGACTCACATTCTAATCAATTTAGATAAGAATCCCTCTCTAGGCCTGATTCTTAATCTCTTTGAGGTCACAGATTCCCTTAAGAATGTAATAAGAATAAAAAGACAAAAAGGAATAAGAATATGGGACCTCTGGGCGCCTAGGTGGCTTAGTTGGCTAAGCGCCTGCTTCTGCTCAGGTCCTGGTCCCTGGGATCGAGCCCTGCCTCTGGCCCCCTGCTCAGCAGAGAGCCTGCTTCTCCCTCTGCCCCTCCCCTCTTTCTGTGCTCTCTCTCTCTCAAAAATAAATAAAATCTTAAAAAAAAAAAAAAGAATATGGAACCTCATCACAGAAATGTTGACATACGTATAGTCACACATTTTGAAGACAATTTTAGAGGGTTTGCAGACTCCCCCATTCTTGTCCCCTTGACTTAGAGGAACTGGCCTGTAGTAATGGAGTTCATAGGCTTGTGTGTATTATTAAGATTAACATATTACTTTGTTGTTTTCTGTTAGGCTTACCTCATTTTTCTTCTGGTATTTTCCGCTGCTGGGGAAGGGATACTTTTATTGCACTGAGAGGTCTACTGCTGATTACTGGACGCTATTTAGAGGCCAGGTAGGAGATCTCTAAAAAGTTGCAATGCAAGTTTATATCTAAATGTTTTTCACATGCTCTTCAAACTTTCTTTCTTACCATCTACTCGTAACATTTGGGAGGTATGTTTTCCTTAAGTGTTTTTTTTTTTACATGTTCATTTAATAAGATCATAGAATTTCAAAGGAGTGAATATCTTTTTTTTTTTTTTTTACATTTTTTTTTTTATTCTTATGTTAATCCCCAAGGAGTGAATATCTTTGAAGTTATTATATTCTAGTCCTTCATGTTACAAGTCAGATTATCTTCAGCATTTGCTAATTGATCTCAGTAAAAATAAAAAATGTGTAACCATGTTACTAACATCACTCACTAAAGAGTAAAATTTCTATGCCCAAATTAAGTTTAAGAATTTAGATGAACTTTTAGGTAAAATTTGAATTCTATCATTTTTTTCCTTCTATAATGAAGACTGAGTCCTGTAGAAAGAATTATAGTATCAGGTTTTCCTCTAAGTGTTGTGAGGCCTTGTAACCTCCAGTTGTGTCTTTTAGTCCTAAAATAATGTTTCCTCATGTCACAATAATATGAATGAAATTGTCAAAGGTAGAAAAGAGAAGCCGTACAGCAGTGCCACTCAAATCAACATAAATCAGTTCCACAGATCAGCGGTGTCACCATCACCTGAGAACTTGCAAGAAATGCAAATTCTTGGTCCTTATGCTGGACCTCTGAATGTGGGGATGGAGAGGGTAGAGTAGCAGATGGAAATCTGTGTTTCCACAAGGGCTCCAGGTGGTCTTCAGCAGCCCAAGGCTAGCATTTGACAGCACTGCTCTACAAGTTAAAACTTTCAGCAGAAAAAGCATTTATGTGATACTTTGTTTTGATGTCATTCAAAAAAACTGAAGTTTGCCTCTTCAAATGACAAAAGTTCTGGTTTTGGTCTTTTTAAAATTGAAAATTTCTTTTTTAGATTGAAGATTTCTAAGTGGGCATCTGAAATGTATTACATTCTTCCCTATTACCTAATACAATAAGACCTTTTCTTATTCACTTAAGAGACCGTTGTGAGGCTGTAGAAATTTGGGAGGCTATTTGCTTTTTCCTTAAATGTTCCTAAATGACTATGATTAAGAAGTAGGAAATGGAACATCAGGATTCAGCACAGTGTAGTGGTTAAGTACTTGGGTTTGGGCCAGACTGCCAGGTTCTTTTTTTTTTTTTTTTTTATTCTTATGTTAATCCCCATACATTACATCATTAGTTTTAGATGAACAGACTGCCAGGTTCTAATCCTGGTTCCAAACTACCAACTGACATTATTTATCCTCTTTGTACTCTATAAAATGGTGATAGTACTTACCTTACAGGGTTTTTCTAAGGATTTCTTTTTAAGATTTTATTTTTTGAGGGTGCCTGGGTGGCTCAGTCCGTTAAGAATCTGACTTCGGCTCAGGTCATGATCTCAGTGTCTGGGATCAAGCCCTGTGTAGGGCTTCATGCTCAGCAGGGAGTTTTCTTGTCCCTCTGCCACTCCCCCTGTTCATGCTCACTCACACGCGTGCGTGTGCTTTCTCTCTCAAATAAATAAATAAAATCTTTTAAAAAAAAAAGATTTTATTTTTTTAAGTAATCTCTTCACCCAACGTGGGGCTCGAACCTACAACTCTAAGATCAAGAGTCACATGCTCCACCAGCTGAGTCAGCCAGGCGTCCCTAGTGAGGATTAAATGAATGTCTAGAACAGTGTCTGTCACATGCTAAGCATTACATAAATATTAGTTTTTAAAATCATTATTATTATTTTCCTTGTTATCTGGGCTCCCAATTATCACTTTTATATGCTATCAACAATTGTGCTTCTTAATTTTACATATGACTATCTAGATCAGGGGTCAGAGAAATATGGCCTATCACCTGTTTTATATGACCTTGGAGCAAAGAATGGTTTTTACCATTTTAAACAGTCATTTAAAAAGAAGAAGAATACATGACTGGGACCATATATATGGCCAACAAGGCCTAAAATATTTACTATCTGGTCCTTTGCAGAAAAAGTTTGCCAACCCCGATTTAGATGATTCCGAGAGGATAATGTATTTGTTAAGGTAGTGCTAGCTGTTATAAATTATAAATTCTTATATTTCAATGGTTTTTCACAAATGAAATTTATTTCTTGCTTCTGGTCCAAAATGGGTGTTCAGGAGGCAGCTTTCCACATAGTGATTCAGGGATATAGGCTCCTTCATCTTGAGAATCGACCATCTCCTAGGGCCTCTGAGTACTACTCTCCAGTCAGCTGGCAGAGAGGGAAAGAGTGTGGGGAAAATACACCTGTTCCATGCACTTAACATACATCAGGTCCATTCACCTTCTTGCCTTAGAAACCAGTAATCTGGCCACAGCCAGCTGAAAAGTAGGTTGAGGCATGTAGGAAAGCCATTTTGGTGGACACATGGCTATCTGTACCACAGAGAGTTCTACTTCCTCCTTCTGCAGAGATATTCACGGACAGAGGTCTTTTTATTCAAGTTTCAAGTGTATGACATTGTTCTGGATGGTTACGATTGCCGCATTCTCACCTTTTATTAATTGGAAGTGTCACTATCCATACTAACACTTGTACTGCAGAATACAAGAAAGGCTTTTATTGCACTGTTTTTTAAGAGATGGGCATTAAACTGAGATACAAAATTAATTAAATTTCTAAATGGTTTAGCCAAAAAGCACTGAGGCCTAGACATTTTAAATGACTTTTCCTAGACATACAGATGGCAATGTGAGGTTTTAAACCCCAGTCTTAGTTTCATGCCCCTTTTAGAAATGCCATCCCATCTTATGAAGTTGTCATTTGGTATATGATAGTACAATAATACTTAAAAGATTAAGTGTTCTCTACCAGTTTTTGAAAATAAATCATGATTTTCAAGGTCAGCTTTTGCCCTTTTCTTATGTATTTGCTTTGGTATTTAAAATAATAAAGTTCATGTCATATTTACTTAGATTTTGAAATACCACAGATTTCAAAAGTAGAATCTAGAGCTAGAAGGAACCCTAAAAGCCAGTCCAATACCTAAATCCACAGATGAAAAAACTATCCCAATGAGGGTAAGCCACACAGATTGTCAGAGAAAAAGCCAAGACTAGGATTAAGGTTTCAAGATTTTAATTCAGTGCTTAATCTCTCATATTATGACCACTTTCTACATGAAAATTCAAAGAAATAGGGACAAGAGAGAAAATGCATCTGAAATAATAGTCAGAAAAAGGGACTTAAATCTTTTAAGTGATTGTTTTCATGTCAAATGATCCACTTAATTCTGTTGTTTTAGGAATATTATTTTAGCATTTGCTGGTACCCTAAGACACGGTCTCATTCCTAATCTCCTGGGTGAAGGAACTTATGCCAGATACAATTGCCGGGATGCTGTGTGGTGGTGGCTACAGTGTATTCAGGATTACTGTAAAATGGTTCCAAATGGCCTAGACATTCTCAAGTGCCCAGTTTCCAGAATGTATCCTACAGATGATTCTGTTCCTTTGTCTGCCGGCACACTGGTAACAATCCTCTTCAAACAATTTTTTTTCTGAAAAATAACTTTTAGCTTCTAATATAAAAATGTATGTAATAAAGAATCCAAATCTGAAAAATTCAAGTATTGGTATATGTTTTAGCACCTGCTTAGTTCTATGAGCAATTGCAGAGATAAGACTTGCTTCTTGCTTAAAGAACTTGCAACATGATAGAAGAGATGATATGTACATAATATGGCCATTGTAAAAGGAGGTGTATGGGAAATGCTGTGCGTAGAAGGGAGAGAGATAATCCAGTAGGTGGTTCTCAGGGAGGACTTCATAAAGTAGCTGAAATTTCACCCAAACTGAACCTTAAAGGTGAGTAGGATTTCAGCAGAGATGAGGGAAGTTGTGGGAAGACCTTAGAGGTGAAAGGAAAATAAAGTGCAGGGTGGATTGAAGCACAGGTTAGGACATACTGCTTAGTCTAGTTTGGCTTTTTGTGGAGGGTACCTGCCGGGTAGTAAGAGTAGGTGAGAAAGGGTGAACCAGGTTGTGGAGAGCCTGATCACCAATCCAGGTAGTCCAGAGTTTATCCTGTGAACAGTGCAGAATAAATAAACATTTTGAGTGGTTTTCTTCCCAGTCAATAATGCACAATGATACTGTACTTTTGCCACTTCTGAACTACCTTTACATTATAGTTTGTTTGGTATGTGACTGTGGAGGACTTCTAAACCACCTTAGAGTTAGCAGAGATCTATGTCCCCATGATGTTTTTATTATGAAATATTCAAAGAACATTTCTCAAAAAACGTTTTTACCTAAAGTATCACTTCAGTGTGTAATTTATCCCCATTACTATATATGTGGATGAGTAAGAACAGCGGTGCCAATTTAAAGTTTAGATCTCTGTTTAAGATAGATACATTTATTACCTGCACAATTCACTCTAATAGAAATTATACACAAGAATTTTCACAAGAATCATTTTCACATGTCAGCAAAATTATAAACTATTTCATGTCACAGACATGAATAGTCAAAACTACAATATGTTAAATATTCGTATGCCAAAGGCTGACTGTACGATTCGGTGTATAGGAGCTCCTTCTTTCCCCAGTCTCTGATCCCCATTTCTTCCCCAAAGGACAATATATGTTTCACAAAACCTCAGTTGTGGGATTTGAGAGAAGGTAAGAAAAATGTCATTTCTAACAGAAATAATATCCATTATGTCTCAAACAGGATCAACCATTGTTTGAAGTAATACAGGAAGTAATGCAAAGACACATGCAGGGCATACAATTCCGAGAAAGGAATGCTGGTCCACAGATAGATCGAAACATGAAGGATGAAGGTACATAACTTTACATAGTAAAGATTTACTGATGAGGTGGAATATAGCCCTGTAATTGTTCATGTATTTGACAAATATTTTATTTGTGTGTAAAACTTCATACCATAACAATGAAAAAGATTAACACAGTTCCTGATCTTACCGGTTTAGTTTGAGTTTCTAGAGGAAAGATAAAATTTTATATATTTTGTCAGCCAGTTTGAGAGGTAATTTCGGTGGTTGCATTTATAATTATAAAAACAAATAAGTGCTTACTATGTGCTAGGCATTATGCTAACAATTTACCTATGTTATTCCCATTTATACTCCCAAGAACATTGGGGATGAGTTGTATTGTTCCCGTTTGTACTGATAAGATGACTGAAGCAGAGTAGCTTGCCTAGAGTCACACAGCTACTAAGTGGCAGAGCTAAGATTTCATCTACAATCTGTCTCTTTAACTTGGACTCTTACAAAATTCTTTTTGTAAAAAGTTTCATCTACAGAGTTAAAATAGATTTACTTTTTTAACCTCTTAGAACTTTGTCATATTCCTATTTTTATGGCATACTGTCATCACCAGCCAGTGCAAGGCTAATGATAATTTATTTTATTACCCTTTAGAGACTTTACATACAAGAAGTGATGCAAAGGCATATGCAGGGCATTTCTGTGTACTTATTTATGTTCTGTAAAACATATACTGTTTTATGTGCATGTAGATTTTTTTTAAGTTCTTAATGTTGAAAGAATTGGAGACTGATAGAAAGTTGCAAAAATGGATCGCCTGGGTGGCTCAGTCAGTTAAGTGTCCTACTCTTGATCTCAGCTCAGGTCTTGATCTCAGGGTTGTGAGTTTGGGCTCCGGGCTGAGTGTGGAGCCTACTAAAAAAAAAAAAAGTTGCAAAAATGATACATAAGAGTATCCTGAAGCCTTCATCTAGCTTCCCCAATAAGGATATCTTACCCCTTACTGTATCTACATCTTACTGTAGTACAGTATCAAAATTGGAAACTGACACTAGTTTAATACTGTTAACTAGACTATAGACCATATTCAGTTTTAACTATTTTTACATTAACTCATTTATGTGTGAACATATGTGTGTTTGGTTCTGTGTAATTTTGCCCATGTATAGCTTCATGTAACCACCACCACAATCAGGATACTGAACTGTTCAATCACCACAGAGGTCTTCCTTGTGCTACCACTTTACCGTCACACCAACGATCCCTGGTTTCCGGCAACTACTACTCTGTTCAGCATCTCTACAGTTTTATCATTTTAAGAATATATAGAGAGGGAATCATATAGTATGTAACCTTTTGAGATTGATTCTTTCACTAAGCATAATTCCCTTTGTGATCCATCCAACTCTTGCATATATCAGTAGTTTATTCCATTGTATTGCTCAGTGGTATTCTCTTTCATGATGTAACATTCATCTGTTGAAGGACATTTTGGTTTTTTCCATTTTTTGGTTAATAAATAAAGCTAATATAAACATTTATATACAGGTGTCTGTGTGACCATATATTTTTATTTCTCTGGGATAAATGCCCAAGAATGTGATTTGGTGATATGCTAAGTATGGATTTTGTTTTATAAGAAACTGCTGAACTATTTTCCAAAGTGGCTGTACCAGTTTACATTCCCACCAGTAAACTGGAGACATCCAATTCCTCCACATCCACAGGAGCATTTGATGTTAATCATTTTTTTAAAACTCTTCTGGTGTGGGCGCCTGGGTGGCTCAGTCGTTAAGCGTCTGCCTTCGGCTCAGGTCATGATCCCAGGGTCCTGGGATCGAGTCCCACGTCGGGCTCCCTGCTCCGCGGGGAGCCTGCTTCTCTCTCTCCTGCTCCCCCTGCTTGTGTTCCTGTTCTCGCTGTCTCTCTCTGTCATATAAATAAATAAAATCTTTAGAAAAAAAAAAAAAACTCTTCTGGTGGCTGGGTACACTACACATTGTGGTTTTAATTTGCATTTCCCTAATGACTAATGGTATTGAACATCTGTTCATGTGCTTATTCATCATCTGTATCTCTTTTTGATGAAATATCTGTGTCTTTTGCCCATTTTTTAATTGGATTATTGGTTTTTTTTACTATTGAAGTTTTTTGTGTGTGAGGCAAAATACACATATTTACCATTTTACCATAAAATATATCATTTTAACTGTTTTAAGTACACAGGGGCTTTAAGTACATTGTTGCATAACCATCATTACTATCCATCTCCAGAATTTTTCCTCATCCCACACTGAAATTCTGTACCCAGTAAACAATAACTCCCATTCTCTCCTCCCCTAACCCTTGTAACGACTATTCTATTTTCTGCCTGTATACATTTAACTATACTATGTACCTCATATACATGGAATCATACAGTATTTGTCCTTTGTGTTTGGCTTATTTCACTTAGTATTACTGTATCAGAGCTGCATGTACTATACTCTTATGCTCTTTGATTAAATACTACCAAATTTCTTTCCATAATGATTACACTAGTCTATATTCCCACTAAAAGCCAAATTAACCTTATCTATGATGTCCTTCACCATAGTTTATTTCAGAAATCCTACTCCACCCTCATGTCACAAAGATAATGTCTCACATTTACTTTTATTAACTTTGTAGGCTTGCCTTTTACAAAGAAACAATTCATTCCATTTTAATCCCTTCTTCTTGTCCTTATGGTTCTTGTTCTTAAGACCTATATCTATATAACTTATTATCTCTATGTTAGTTTCTTTAACTTATTAAAATCCCGACTGATCCCTAACAAAACAAGTAATTTAGCATGTGCCCCATCTCTATTTTAATGAATTGTTTTGACTCTACTTTTTCTTTCTCTTTTCTTTGGTTATTGCCTTTTCTAGGCAGCAATAAACTTTTATGTGTACTTTGATCATCTTTTCTTTCCATATCTCTTACAACATCCTCCAAGATTTATTTATTTGAGTTAATTCAATGAATTAATCTCATTTATTTGTTACTTATGAAACCTCTCAGAACAGTGCCCAGTAAAAAAGCATGTGATCTATAAGTTGCTATAGTTGTTTTTATTGTTGTGATGTAAGCACTATCTTCAAGAGTGTTTTTAAAGTTGGAATTTATGTTTCAGACCTTCTGAAGCCTTGGATGACTGGAAATTTTTTTATTATTAAATGGCACAATGCACATAAAATTCTAGTTCAAGTTCTTTTCCTTCAGTATTTTAAAAAATATTATTCCATTGCCTTCTTGCTTCCAATATTTCTGTCGGAGGTCTGTTGACGTATATCTTGTTCCATTAGTGGTGATCTACTCTTTCTTTCTTGAAGCTTTTAGAACCATCTCTTTGTTTTCATTCAGGATTTTATTCTGACTTTTCTTATCTGTTTCATTTGGCATTCTATGAGCCCTTTCAATCTGAGATCTTCTCTTAATTCTGGAATACTTATCATTTTATTTCTTCAGATATTTCCTCTCTGCTTTCTGGGAGTACTATTATTTGGATACCTTCTTGTTTATTTCTACCCACACAGCTTTTAGCTCTTTTCTTCTATTTTCTCTTATCTATTTTTTTCTTATCCATTCCTGCTGCCTCTGGAAGATTTTCAACCTGATCTTCCATCTCACTAATTCATTCTTCAGTCATATCCATCTATTTAGTCCCTTTATTGTTTTCTTTATTTCAGCTACTAAAAATTTTAGACCTAACATCTCCGCATGGTCATTTTTAATGACTTTTTGTTCCTATTTCATATTAATAATGTCTTCAAGAATATTATGATGTCTTTGAAGATTTTTATTTTGCTTATTTTATATTATTGGTCCATCTGTTCCAGTAATTCTGCTTTATGTGGGATATGTTGTTCAGCTTCTTTCTCTTTTATAGTACTTAAGACTCCTCTGGTAGCTAATGTTTTCTTTTTCTCAATAAGCACATGTTCCCTTGATTATTAGTAACTCCATACAGCGCTGAAAAGAGGCAATCTCCTTAGCTTATAATACAACAACCTTAAAAGCCAAGGTAGAATGAAAAGCCCAAGAGTGACTGTCAAATTCCACTTGTTTTCATCAGTTTCTCCCAAAAATTATATGAATTCTTCAAATTAATACCTCACACTTACTTCTGTAGTTTCTCCAGGGTTGATTTTGGGATCAGAGCCAGTAGCCTGGGATACTTTGCCATTTCATCAGGAACTACAAAATTGGATTTCTTCATACTTTTTTTGTGCATTTGAAGCAACCTATCCTTTTATAGTTATTTTAACCTGTGTACCTTTTTGTGTGTGTTTCTTTTGCTCTCCACTAAATCTCTGAGAGGAAAACCACTAAACATTGATTATCCAATTATTGTCATATATTTAATATCAAATAAATTATAAACCTCCTTGCCTTTGTGTATTACTTTGCAAACATTTTCCGGAGGCTAGTCCTTCTATTCCTAGCTCACAGTACAGGAAATAAGAACAGGAGGTAAAAGTAGTTTGCCTAAGGACATGCATACATAGTACATTAATAAACACGAGAGAAGCATTCAGTCTTACCAGTACTCAAACAAATTAAAATTAAAGTGGGTCACCATTTTTCCCTACTAAATTACCGTAAGAGACAGCATAGCATAAATGAAAGCACCAATGCTAGAAGCAGACCTGCTGTCTTAAAATTCCCCTCTACTCCTTTTCTAGCTGTGTTCCCTTGGATAAGTTTTAACTTCTCTTTGCCTCTCTCATCTACTTTTGTAAAAGAAAGATAATAATACCACCTACCTCCTAAGGTTGATATGAGGATTCAATGAAATATGTATGTTAAAGCACTTAGAATAGTGCATGGCACATAGTGCTGTAAGTCTACTATTTATTATTAGGAAAAACAATGTATTCATTTGCTGGGACTGCCATAACAAAGTACCACACACTGGGTGGCTTAAATGACAGAAATATATTGTCTGTCAGTTTTGGAGGTGAGGAGTCCAAAATTAAAGTGTTGGCAGGTTTGACTCGACCTTGGGGCTGTGAGAGAAAGATCTCTTCTAGGCCCCTCTTGTAGATAGCCATGTTCATGTTTACATGGTGTTCTCCCTATATCGTCACATCAGCTTCCTTCTGTGCCCAAATTTCCTCATCTTATAAGGATACCAGTGGAATTGGATTAGAGCCCAGGCTAATGACCTTATTTTAATGCAATTAACTTTTTAAATTACTATCTCCAAATAAGGTCACATTCTGATGTACTGGGGTTAGGACTTCAGCATATGAATTTGGGTGTTTACACAATTCAGTCCATAACAAACTAACAAATAACTGTTTTTTATTTGAGAGGTATTCAGATACTACTGATGGCATTGTAAATTGACTCATTCTTCTTGGAAAGCAACTTGAAGATAGATAGATATCCAAATATGTTTTATGAGATATAGAATATTCATGTTTTTGTTCATGAATTTATTCCACTCCTGGGACTCTAGTCCATGAAGTAATCTAAAACACACAAAAAAGTCATATTACATGATATTGATCATAACAGTGCTCACAATCACATAAAAGAATGAAACAATCCTTTTGTTTAACAGGAAATGTTTACATTGACTTGAATGAAAAATTCTGTAATTCCTATAAATCATAATTTTTGTAATTTGTATAGTATTAATATAATATAAATATTAAAGACTGAAATATTAAGGACTTATGGGTGTTGAATCTAATACATGAAAAATAGTTGGATATGAAATATTTATGAAAATATTATTATTGGGGCGCCTGGGTGGCTCAGTTGGTTAAGCGACTGCCTTCGGCTCAGGTCATGATCCTGGAGTCCCGGGATCGAGTCCCACATCGGGCTCCCTGCTCAGCAGGGAGTCTGCTTCTCCCTCTGACCTTCCTCCTTCTCATGCTCTCTGTCTCTCATTCTCTCTCTCTCAAATAAATAAATAAAATCTTTAAAAAAAAAATATTATTATGTGAAAAGACTAGAAAGGAATACATAAATGTAATAGTTTTGTTAGGGTAATAGGATTGTGGACTCTTGTTTTTTTTTTAAACACTATTGTTTTTAATGTAAAATGATAATCTTTTTAAATGATCTATTTCAGATATTTCAGATAACTCACTAACTCATTGGCAAATTTTGCTGTAGACTCAAGAACTTAAAATTCTGGGGCACCTGGGTGGCTCACTCAGTTAAGCAGCTGCCTTCAGCTCAGGTCATGATCCTGGGGTCCTGGGATTGAGCCCTGCATCTGGCTCCCTACTCAGCGGGTAGCCTGCTTCTCCCTCTCCCCGCCGCTCGTGCTCTTTCTCAGTATCTCTCTCTCAAATAAAATCTTTAAAAAAAACTTAAATTCCTTCATACACATTCTAAATTATATTTTAAACAGTAGTTAGACCTCATTTAGTTAATTTAGTGTTTATAGTGGTAACATACAAATTGTATACATGATTGAACTGGTAAGATCACTGATACTTTTTTTATCCTTCACTTAGAGAACTAAATAGAAGTAGATTTTATATTTAAAAGAACATTTTTTGTGATATCTCTAAATTATTGTAGTTTTTAGATTTAATTGTGAAACATTTCAGTAAGAGAAAATAATATAAATTATACCTTTAAGCCTAGAAATAAAATTAGATATTTAACATTCGGTTGTATTTTCAGATCTTTCTTTTTTGTTTTGTAAAGAAATAAACCATTACAGATGTATCTAAAGCTTCATCTTTATCTCTCTCCCTTCCCTCCCTCTCTAGAATTAATGACTACGCTATAATCACGTTTTTTTTTCCATGTATGTTTTTGTACTTTATGAGTTTGTGTTTGAGTATGTGTAAATTACATATGATTTATATTATGTAGTATATATTCAGTATATTATATAGTATGTAGTCAGTATATTATGGAATACACTATAATATATACATATAACTTTTATGTTTTTGAATTTTATCAAGTATTATGTTAAACATAGTCATATAGACATACATGGTTGTATATATTAGTATTATCTATATTTTAAACTTTTAAGGAAAGGTGTCTTATTATGCATTTCCTTTTGCAACTTGTTTGCTCGATAATTTTGTTTTGGGGTTTTGTCCATTATGATGCATTGTAAATCCAGTTCATTAATTTTAAATGGTATAGTGAGTTTTCTACTGTATGAATAAACCACAGTGTTTATTCACTCCTCTGCTCAGCAGTTATTTATTTTCTTGCTAATACAAATAGTGTTGCATTGAATATCCTTGTACATATCTTCATATGCACATGGGTAAGGAGTTCTCAAAAGTATATATCTAGAAATGAAATTACTGTGTGGTAGAATATGCACATCTTCAACTTTTTTACCACATTGCTCTCCAGAGTAGTTGTCCTAGTTTATTATATCCCTTTCAGATTTTGTAAATGTTTTATTTTGCTTTTTTAGGCTTTAATATAACCGCAGGGGTTGACGAAGAAACGGGATTTGTTTATGGAGGAAATCGCTTAAATTGTGGCACATGGATGGATAAAATGGGAGAAAGTGACAGAGCTAGAAACAGAGGAATCCCAGCCACTCCAAGGTAGTATTTATTTGTACAGTGCTTATATAATAATACCCTTTTTAAAACCACATACTTGTGGAGTCTTTTATTCTCTTAACCATGAAGTCTTCTTATTAAATCCGTCAAAATCTGGGGTACCTGGGTAGTTCAGTCAGTTAAGTGTCCAGCTCTTGGTTTTGGCTCAGGTTATGATCTCATGGGTGGTGAGATTGAGCCCTGCGTTTGGCCCCCATCCTGGACCCTGCGCTCAGTGTGGAGTCTGCTTGAGATTCTGTCTGTTCCCCACCACCTACCGGCTCACACACGAGTGTGTGATCTCTCTCACCCCCCTTTCTCTCTCTCAAATAAATAAATAATCTTTTTTAAAAATTAGTCAGAATCTCCCTTCTTCCCTCCTCCTTCCTCTTCCACTCACTCCTTCCTCTCCCACAACATGCACATATACAACTCTCTTGTTACCAAGTCATCAAGTAAAGCTGTCTGTTCTTTTCTGGAAGTTCTCATGGGATGCTTCTCTACAAGCACCTCAAAGGAAAATTTTATGATTCTTTATCCCTGTCGTTAAGATCTTTTCTTAACCTGAATGTTTTCATTGTAAACATTTCATTATGCCCATCTTTTATAAATACAGAAAATACCCAATTATCCTGTTCTTTATGAAATACTTTTAATTTCTGAACCTTTTTTTCCACCTAATTTTTTATCTTTTGTCCCATCATTTCTTTTTATGGTTTCAAATGCTTAATACTACATCACAAGTCTAGGAGTGCCTGGGTGGCTTAGTTGGTTAAGAATTTGACTTGATATCAGCTCAGGTCTTGATCTCAGGATCATGAGTTCAAGCCCTGTGTTGGGCTCCACACTGGGTGTAGAGCCTACTTAAAAAAAATAAAAAATTAATTAATTAACTAAAAAAAATAGTATCAAGTGTGAGAAACTATTTTCTTATTCTAAATTTTATCTTCAGTCAGCATCATGAAAAAAAATCATTTAATCACAGCTGTTGTTAAATGCTTTGCAAATTTCTTTTTAAAACATGTTTATTTTGGTACATAATTAGACCTTTTGTACTTCCCTTTCATTTTCTTTAAAAATGGGCTCTCAGGGGCACCTGGATGGCTCAGTCGATAAGCATCTGCCTTCGGCTCAGGTCATGATCCCAGGATCCTGGGATCCAGCCCCGCATCGGGCTCCCTGCTCTGCGGGAAGCCTGCTTCTCCCTCTCCCACTCCCCCTGCTTGTGTTCCCTCTCTCACTCTCTGTCAAATAAATAAAAATCTTTAAAAAAAAAATGGCTTTTCAAATTATTATGTGTATCTTCCCTGGCTTTCTCCAGTCCTATATCCCATGTTTGCTATCTTTTCTCTGGTACCCTATTTCAGTATTCTCTGATTCCTTACCCCTACCTTTTCCAGCTGCCATCCCCTCTAACTCCATAATCACCATTCCACTCCATAGAACTTTTTTTAACTGTTAAGAAGGTAAGCAATGGCAAAATAGTAAGAGGAGAGGTTTCTTATATATGCAGCATACATTTCAATGAAGTGAGGGTTTTTTTAATAGATAGCTGCTTTTATAATATATAATTCATCAAAATTCTTTATTGAATGACCTTTAAGTAGTGCTTAAATGACTCCAACTCACAGAATAAAATTTATTTTAATTTTAGAGACGGGTCTGCTGTGGAAATTGTGGGCCTGAGTAAATCTGCCGTCTGTTGGTTGCTGGAATTATCCAAAAAAAGAATTTTCCCTTATCATGAAGTCACAGTAAAAAAACATGGTAAGCTGTTCATTTTATTTAAACAGAAACTTTGAATATACTGTCTATACTCTTAATCTACATAATCATTTGACTCCATGAACTAATATTAGAAAACCCTTACAATTAAGAAAGAAAAAAGCATTAGTATAAAATTGTAACAAACCTGGTTACTAACCATATTTTTGCAGCAACTTTGAACTAAGATATGAAAAGCATCATAGTTATTGCCTTGTGCTTTTTTTTGTCCTTAATGTGACTGAGCATGTTACATTCTTGTGAACACTTATGAAATCTTTACATCTTTTACTAGAACTCTGCTGTCCAATAGAAATATAATTATATAATTTTTTTCAGCCACATATATAATTTTAAATTTTCTAGTACTCACATTAAAAAAAGTAAAAAGAAATAGGTGAAATTAGTTATGATAATATATTTTATTAACTCAATATATGCTAAATGTTATTTCTTCATGTAATCAGCATGAAATTATTCATGAGCTATTTTACATTCTTTTGTGGGAGGAGTATTTTCTTTGAAATCCAGTATATATTTTACACTTCTGGCACTTCTCAATTCAGACTAGCCTCATTTCAAGTGCACAATACATGTAACTTTATCAAACATGTGAGAGTGATACAAAGAAAAATCAGGGGTCATTTGCTGGATTCTAATCCTTTCTGGTAATAGAATGAAAGATAATTTTTAATTTCAGGCTTGTGTCCGTCAAAAGACCCTGACACTTTCAAGAAGTGGATAATTTATTGCCTAAATGTTACTCTTTGGCTGTAACTAAATATATGGCTTTCTTTGAATGCTTAAAACTGCCAAGTCTTTTATCATGTTTCAGGAAAGGTTGTGACAGTCTCATATGATGAGTGGAACAGAAAAATACAAGACAACTTCGAAAAGCTATTTCATGTGTCAGAAGACCCTTCAGATTCTAATGAAAAGCATCCTAATCTGGTTCACAAACGTGGCATATACAAAGATAGTTATGGAGCTTCAAGCCCTTGGTGTGACTATCAGCTCAGGCCTAATTTTACCATAGCAATGGTTGTAGTAAGTGAATTGTTACTTTCAAATTTCAAAAATGTTGTGATGGAGTACATTTAGTTCTTTATTCCCATTTGTTTTCAAATTCATTTACTTGCCAAAAAGTATATTGTTTACTAGCTAGTTCGATATAGTCTTTCTAAATTAATAAAGCATTATGCATACCACCCTTAACTTTGGTATCAAAAAACAGAAAATAATAGATGACAACTAATGAAGTGCTTCCCAGTGTTTTTCATATGATAGCACACATAGAAAATAATGGTATTTGTATAGCACACTGGGCAAAATGGATTAGGTTGGTTGTGCCAGATCCAACTGCTTCAGTTAGCCCCGGGCCCGCCCCACTGCCTTGAAAGCTGAAGGCCTGGGTATTTCAGCACACCTGTGCTAAGACCAGTACCTCAACACACTAGTTGGAAAGATCTAGACTGGTGAACTAATGTGAGTAGCTTCAACTCATATTCTGTTTCCTTCGTTGTATTGCTGTAATGCATTCTATCTAGCCAAGAATTCTAGACTCTATTTTATCTCTAGTCTAAAAATAAACTATAAGGACAGTAAAATAGAGAAGGTATGTGCCCTTCTGTGCCTGCTTAGCTGTTTCTACCTTGTCGAAAAGAGTACTAAATATGGCACTATAAATTATTAGAATAAAAAATCCAAAGGTACGTAAAGTTATCTTCTGTTCAATATGCATTTGATTTCATTTAACCATTAAAATTAATGCAGGTTCTTAGCCACCAGTACTTTCTCTCCTTCTCCGTATCACAAGTAAATTTACTCATGCTGTTAGAGTGCAGGTCATTCTGTATTTCGCTGTGACCCCAAAAGCAAAAAATGATTACCAGATACACTTTAAGGAAGCTATTATAAATCTTCTGAAAAATGAATTAGATGGGTTTAAGTGTGCTCTGCCTTCATTGTAGCTGCGGCAACTTCCTTCGTATGCTTTCTTAAAATGACACAAGGAAATAGTCACCTCTTAGCAGCATTCCTAATTTCTAAGGCCAAGAACAGTGCTTCTAAGTCATCTCCATTAGCATTAGATCAGGTTAGGCATCTGCGCTCGAAAGGAATTCTGACCCACACTGTATTTTTAAACAGGTTTCATTTCCAAGTTTATGACTAGTTTATGTTCCACTGTGGGTGAAAACTAATTCTTTTGTGATCTTCAAAAGTTTGAATATTCGTTTTTGACATTCATTAGGCCCCTGAGCTCTTTACTGCAGAAAAAGCATGGAAAGCTCTGGAGATTGCAGAAAAAAATTTGCTTGGGCCCCTTGGCATGAAAACTTTGGATCCAGAGTAAGTTAGAATATTAAGTATTAAGAATGTTGTTCATATGGTATTTAATGTATAATTATATTTAATTATATTTAATCTTGGCATGAAAACTTTTGACCCAGAGTAAGTTGAAGTATAAGTGTTAAGAATGTTGTTGATATTATATTGCCTCAGCCATAATTTTTTTGCTTGTCAGTAAACTCTCTAAAATTGCGTTCAAACTGAGTTTTTAAAAATACCAGCTATATCTTCATTAAATATCAGTGTTCACAATGCTTGTCCTATATTTAATAATCAATAAGAGTTTTAAGCTTATAAAACTAATATGTTATGAATATTTCCTAATGCCTATTTTTTTCTGATTGTAAAATACATGATTATTATGGACATTAGAAGTATAGACATATTGTCTCCTCAGAGACAGTCTTTTTCAAGTTGTTAACTCCTAGTAGTTCCCTCCATATTTCTAAATACTGTGTGTGTGCAGCTGTTTTGAGTTTTTTTTTTAATATTAGACATTATTTGGTTACTTCTTGTGATGACAGATGAAGATGTAACTCTCTCCTCACCTTACCACTAACCATTTCCATCCTTTCTATGTTATTACCTGACTGTTTTTATTTAAACCAATAACTGACTTTGTTTTTATTTTATGATTATGTGTTTATGCCATTTTATATTTCTTTTCTTTTCCAACTTTTGTTTTTTCTTGAGTTTCTAATGACCTTCCTGTTTGTCTTCTGCTGTTTTCCTTTAAAGCTTGATGCCCTAGCCCAACATTAATTTTGCTTTCTATATCAGTGTATGACAGAACCCCTTTTCTATATGGTATCCTCACCTTTGTAGAATTTTCCCAATTTACTGTGTACTCATTTCAATCTTGAGATGCAGACTTTTTGTGTGTATACTTATCTGCATTCTGAGGTGTTCTCCACATTTTCAGAGGTGTTAGGAACCACTGGTCAAAACTGAAACCCACAGTTAAAGCTTACTCAGGTCACAAATTCTGTCTCTCACTAAAAGGAAAAAAAGAAAAGTAATAATTTAATTAAACGGAGTATAGATAACTGTCTTGTATTATCCATTACAATAAGTTTGTAATAGTTTGTTTAGTTTATAAGTGTGTATAAATTTTCTATGTCTATTTGGAATCTGATAAATACCAATTTTACTTAATTTTAAAATAACTTCATGGAGAAGTTTAAAAAACAACCTTTCTAATATGTAATAATTAATAAAACTGTATCTTTAATGTTTACTAATTCAAATTATTTTGTGTATATTTTAGTCATCATCAGTGTATTAGAAGCTTAGTGAAATAGTTGACTTTAACCAATATTTAGTGTCAGACTAACTCCTTGAAGGCAAGATACCTGAATACTTGACATTTTTTTTTATTAGCCAGTAACAATTTGTTAATCATTCCCTAACACATTGTTAAAAGTATTCTGGAGGTGCCTGGCTGGCACAGTCAGTAGAGTATGTGACTCTTGCTGTCAGGGTCATGAGTTCAAGCCCCACATTGGGCGTAGAGCTTACTTATAAATGAGTTAATTAGCTAATTAATTTTTAAGATGGGTTGTAAAAAAAAAAAAAAAACAAAGTATCCTGAACCCAGTGTATGCTAATTTGATTATTTCTCTTACTTTTGCTATTGAAAAATCTAATGCTTCTTATGTAATATCTGATCTTTTTCTAACCTAAATTTCAATCATTTTGCAGTGATATGGTTTACTGTGGAATTTATGACAATGCCTTAGACAATGACAACTACAATCTTGCTAAAGGTTTCAATTATCACCAAGGACCTGTAAGAACTTCATTTCTCTTTTCAGAGTTTTCAGTTGAAGTTATTTTTCAAGTAACTTTATAGATATTCAAAGCTCTTTTTTTTTCTTTACCTTTAAATCATCTTTTTCTAGGAGTGGCTGTGGCCCATTGGGTATTTTCTTCGTGCAAAATTATATTTTTCCAAATTGATGGGTCCGGAGGCTAATTCCAAGACTGTGTTTTTGGTTAAAAACATTCTTTCCCGACATTACGTTCATCTTGAGAGGTAAGTCATCAGGGGGCATGTAATTTCCAGAACTAGTGTTTAGTCAGTTTATTAGATATTAGGTAAATAACAGCTCCTTAAAATTCATTTCTGTATACTCTAAGTATCCCAATGAAATTTGAAAGCTTTACTATTATTTAACATGACAAGTTCAGTGATATAATTTTCACCTTCCTTTAATTATTTTAGGTTGTTATTTGAAGACTTAATATTGCATGATTTATACATGTGGAATAGTCTAATTTTTTAAATACATTGGCTATTTTGGGGTATGGCCAAAACAGAATAAATATAAAAATTAAAAGTACTGGGCGCCTGGGTGGCTCAGTTGGTTAAGCGACTGCCTTCGGCTCAGGTCATGATCCTGGAGTCCCGGGATCGAGTCCCGCATCGGGCTCCCT